TCCCCAAAATGGAGGCGAAACTAAGAACAGAAGAACAAAAAAATGGCCATACTGGCTCAGAGCACTGGTGGATTCCCACTTTTGTTCTATGACTGAAGAGGTGTTAATGGGCCACTTTACCCTGAATGGTCCCTTACAATATGTGCTAATGACTTATGCTAAACAATCTGTTCCATCTTACATTTGCTGTGAGGCTGGGAGTACCTTTCTCAGACATGAAGAGCTCTACGCGACTCAAAAGCTTGTCTCTCTCACCAACAGAAATTGGTCCAATCAAAGATATTACCTCGTCCGCTTTGTCTCTCTGGACTGTAATTGCCAGGATGCCTCTGGAGTCTTTTTAAATTTGGCATTACAATGGCTATCCTCCAGTCATCTGGAACAGAGCCTGATTTAAGTGATAGGTTACATACCACAGTTAGTAGTTCTGCAATTTCATATTTGAGTTCCTTCAGAACTCTTGGGTGAATACCATCTGGTCCTGGTGACTTATTACTGTTTAATTTATCAATATGTTCCAAAACCCCCTCTGTTGACACCTCAGGCTGAGACAGTTCCTCAGATTTGTCACCTAAAAAGAATGGCTAAGGTGTGGGAATCTCCCTCACATCCTCAGCCATGCAATGCAATGCAAAGAATTTATTTACCTTCTGTGCAACAGCCTTATCTTCCTTGGGTGCTCCTTTAGCACCTTGATTGTCCAGTGGCCCCACTGATTGTTTGACAGGCTTCCTGCTTCTGATGTATTTAAAAAAAATTTGCTGTTAGTTTTTGCGTCTTTTGCTAGTTGCTCTTCAAGTTATTTTCTGGGCTGTATACTTTTACATGTCTCTCTCTGTCTTCAGTGCTGTCCCCTGCTATTTTCTCCATTGCCCCTCCCCCATTCCTAGTGCTGTGGGTCCTCAGTTCCCACCACTGTACCTAAGTCATTGCCCCTGCCCTGTCCCCCATCTCCTATTCTTGTGTGGTTTCTCTGCTGCCTCCCATCCTGTTGCTCCCCATTCCCCACTGCTGCCCCTTGTGATGCTCTGTCTAACTGTCCCCTCATCCCACTCATGGAGGATGGGCTCATCAATGGCTATTAGCCAAGATGGTCAGGGACACAACCCCATGCTTTGCGTGTCCCTGAACCGCTGACTTGCAGAAGCTGGGACTGGAAGATAGGGGATGGATCACTCAGTACATTACTCTGTTCTGTTCATTCTCGCTGAAGCATCTGACACCAGCCACTGTTGGAATACAGGATACTGGGGTAGATGGACCTTTGTTGTTACCCAGTATGGGCCTTCTTATGACAGAGAGTGGCGCGAATGAGAGAACTGAGAAATGAGGGCACAGCGAGCAGAGAATGGGGAGAAAAGGAGTGAGGTAAAATCAGGAATAAAAAATGAAAAGCAGACTGTATTCTTTCAACTTCATGCACCATCCCCACTAAGAGAGATTTTGCAGGGAAAATTATTCCCTGAGCTAGAGTGGGGTTGCACAGGTGTAACTGAGCATAACTGGAAGGCCCTGGGACTGGCACAGATGGAGCTTATCTTGTGTTTGCCTTGAAGGCTAGAATGGTATGGTCTGTAACAGCACCCCTGCTTATAGGTCTGCTGGCATTTCCTTCTGCTTTTCTTCTCTCTCCCTGTCCTTTCACCTTGCTACTCCTTCTAACTTCCTCACTGTCAGTTTGCACTTCACTCATATTGCGCCTGTATGTAGAAGGCTCTCCCACTATTGCTAGTGCACACCTTCTCTTTCCTCCTTCAAACCCTTCCTTGAAAACACAGTTTTCCTGAGCATCCTTTCCATTTATGTTCTTGCCTTATGCCTCCCTTATTATGCTGGGTCTTGTCTATTTTGGGCAGGACACTCCCTGTGGAACGCAACAGCATGTCCTAGGCATTGTCCACTCATAATATTAAGTAGATTCCTTAGAGAATTAAGTTAAATTGATATAAACCAGGTTTAAACTGCTTTAAGAATGCCCTCACATGAGTATGCACCTGTTTAACTACATTGCTTAAGTAATGCATCTTTAGTTAAACAGCTGCAACTTTGTATTTAGGCAAGGAGGAGATTTTTTAAAGGCACAAATGGCAGTTAGATGCCTAGTTCCCTGACTTTTAATGAGAGTTAAGTGCCTAACTGTCCTTTGTGTCCCTGAAATCTCCCCAAGGTCATACTCTATGTTGTGCGAAGCATTGTGTACATTTCCAATGCTATTTAAATGATAATAATTATTAATATTTCATTCTGATATAGAAGTCCAAAGGTACGCATTTTGAAGATGTATGTTGTTAAAATAAAATACTTGTTTAAGAAGCAACTGAGTTTTCTGCTTGTCTATTAGTGCTTTTAGATTGACTTTGAAGATGCTTTTAATTGTATGGCAACTTGACACTGTAACTGAAGTAGCAATTGCTGAATTGTTTCATGGATTAAATTGATCTGGATCAGGTTTCTTTAAGACAAATATTTATGGAGAATGTGTTGGATTTCACTTTATAATGCTGTAATGGCATGACTAGTACACTGATTTTAATGCCTTTAACATCCAAACCAGGTTTTACACTTAGAAAAGTGTCTTGACATGATATAAGGTCTCTTTTTCAAATCATCTGATTCTCTTTTGTGATGGTCTTTTAAGTTCTTTTATTATAATTTAGTTGAAACAACTTCTATTATAATATTCATTTTAAATCATGTACATGCTTTTAATGTGTAAGAGGAATCTTTTTTGATAGCAATGATGCCCATAACCCATATTTTCAAAGTAGAGCTACACTAAATTAGATTTTAATCCATCTCATTCAGAATATCAAGGAGAATTTATTCCTGCATACTTAAACATCCACAACAAACATTTTTAAACAGGCTTCAATTCTGAGTTCTCTAGAAAGAAATTTCTTCTGGTGCATATTTCCAAATCTATTGTATATTGCAGTAGCCTCTTTCCTGTTCTTTGCTTAATGTATATAAAGTTTTCATCACTTCTAGTGTAATAATAATTCTCATTTGGGACTAAATGTTGCTGTCCCTTTCCTTCCCCTGGCTCACCACACCCTGAGTGAACAGGCTTTGTATACACAGTGTCGTTGTAGCCGTGTTGGTCCCAGGATATTAGAGACCTGAAGAAGAGCTCTGTGTGGCTCGCTAGCCAACAGAAGTTGGTCTAATAAGCGATATTACCTCACCAACCTTGTCTCTTTGTATAGATGGTTTAAAGGGGCAATCAGGCAAGCAACCCTCTCCAGTCTTTTGACCTAAAATAGCCCAAGCTGACTGGCTGCCACTGTTATAGCACATGGGCTTTTAATAGCACCAGGGCCTTTGCACACTCCCTACTCACAAGGGTTAGGCCTGTGAAGCTGCATAGTTGTGGTGCCATATCTTCACGCTTCCCTTTGCATTGACATTGTGGAATGGGGCATTCCAATTCTTTGAGGCCAGTGCATCCTCCCTTCTTGAATTCTTAATCTGTGGTATGTTCAAAGGTTGTGGACTCTGCAAGGATTACTATGGTTGTATAGCCCTAAGGATTAATTTGCTTGTCTGTATAAATATATCTTTCTTTTAAATTTGAATATGTGATGTATTAGGCTTATAGATTTTATATTAAAAGTAAGTTTGGCTGTAATGCAAGAGACCTACCTGCAGGCCAAACCCCTGTATGTTAAGCTAATGCGAAGTTAACTCCTTTTGAGACCCTTACCCAGAAAAGTAAAATTAGGCAAAACACCCACACAGATGTCTAGAGACCTTTACCTGGACCAATAGCAGTAAAGGGGGGGAAAAGGGGGTTTTGCCCACAAGTCTAACAGATATACCACAAGTGCGTACATACCTGTCATCCATACGCACATACATACTAGCCTATGGGGTAGGTGTACCCTAACATTTCCGTGGGGGAGGAATGAAATTTGGGCATAAGAGGAAGGATTTCCTATTAATGCCCTATAAAAAGACGAGGCAGCTCGCCATTAGACAGGCAATCTACCCACCTATCTGCTCCTGTCTACTCTTCATTGCCTCCACCTTCAATTACGTATCGATGCTACCCATCTCCTACACGGCTATTAACTATTGATAGGCCGTTCTTCATTTCTTTTCAAGACTGTAGGTTAAAAAGGGATGTAATCTTCCTTATATTATATTTTATTTTAGTTAAGACATATAAAGTTAAGTTAGAGAGTAAACAACTTTGCAGTAGCTTCCTCTGCCAGAGGTGTGAAAACGCCCAAGGTGTTGCCAACAACAGGTTATTATCAAAACAGAGTGTGAGTATTAATTAACTTTGCAGCTTATAATCTTATATTCATATATATCTATCTCTTAAAGAACTGTGATACAAGTGTAACTCTGTAATTCTGATTGGTTTACCATTTGCTTAATATCTTCATTGATTTTAATAAAAAGGTCTTTATGACTACATCTGTCTCAGTGTAAACTTCCTGTCATACCCCCGAAGTTCCTTTTATAAACTCTGTGAAGCCTGATTCAGGACGAACTTTATCTTCTGATCAAACAAATTGGCGAGCTGAAACCCATACTAATTAATATTAACAATAATCAGTATTAAAATTATTAAAATTAGTAATTAATTAATTGAAATTAAGTAGATGAAATTAAATTAGGTGGATGAATTAAATCAACACAACTAACACACCCCAAATCAGGCTACAGTCCAAACTGAAATCAGGCTTCAATGGGGTTGTACCTGCTTGCGTCAGATCTGTTTAAGCCTCACCATAAGCCTGATGCTCCATTGCCTCATACCTTGTATAATCATTGACCCCCATGTAGTGAGTGCACAATGCTACCAGGTGAGAATACCAGTGTTATCTAATCCCTTTGCATTTGTGTTGTTCAGGTATCAGTGACTACACAAGACATGGGGCATTGGGGAAACAGGCCCTATGTCTTCAAAACAGGGAGCAAAATCTACAGGAAAACATCTGTATTGGGTTTGTACATTTCAGATGAGAAAAACCACATAAACAGACAAAAGGTAAACTGAAAAAATTAATTGTTTTATAAAATAAGATCCTAGAATCGTATCTGAACATCCAGTTTTTAAATATGGTACATTCACTTTCTCACAGAATATTTAAATATTCAGGTCATTTATGGTATATTTCTTATACTATTTGAGTTAAAAACTTTGGATAAATTAAACAACTCCTACCAAAAGATACCACAACTTATACACATAAAACTAAGTAACAATTTTTAAAAAATCCACAAAGTAAAGAAGTAGGATCTCTTAGGAAATGCTACATAATTTCTGCTTAAAAATATACTTGATAATTTTAGTCTATCTTGAAAATATAGTTTGTATTTCATTTCTCTTTCTAAATTTAAGTCTCATATAATTTCCATTTAAGTTAATAAATATGTACAACGAAAACCTTTATATCAATGCATATAAATAGTAAATACTGTATTAGGCCTGGTCTAACATTCTTTGCTCACACAATGACTTCAGTGGTACTTTTCAATTTTGGATGCCAAAGGCTGCAGATCAGGACCTAAATGTCATCAAATGATTATAGCTTTTACAGAAGTGACTTTATAATAATAAAAAAACCCTCTAAGCTCTGAGAGCTTAGAGCCATTCCAGTCATAATTCCTATAAATAGTCACGTACAATGTAGGGGAACAATGTTCTACGTTAATTACTGCTAACAGTAATTAGGGGGAAATAGTGGAGAATGTATGGAAAAATATCTTGAATTAGACACATCGTTTTTTTACTGATTGGACTTGGTTCCCTATCATTTCAAAAAAGAGTTTTTGGTATAATTGGTACATTTTAAAACTGTGAAGCAACTTGACCACCTTCTTCAGACTTTGGATAGGTTTTTTGGGAAAGTGGTATGCTTTCAAATGCTTCAGCCCATGCGTTAGGGCCTTAATTGTGTCTTGATCAGCGTTTTTTATTCTCCATAGGTTAAGAAGCTTTAGAATTTGTTCCGTAGGTTTGCACAGCTTCATAGTGTGCTGAATATCTTCTTTTCTTACTTTCTTTCCTGGTAAACTCACCATCAGAATGTTGAGATGTTCAAAGGTTAGATTAGCCTGGCCAATATGTTTTAAAATGCTGTTTTCACAGAGATCAATATCTACACAAAACAAAAATCAAGGAGGGACATTAATATGATTCATTACTATTTTATAATGGCTTAAAACAAACTCTAAAGTCAGAAAAGGACATGTACCCACTAAATGTTTCCTAGTTTTATTTCCAAATAACCCTTTTATCATTGGTTTCAGATTAGCAGCCGTGTTAGTCTGTATCTGCAAAAAGAACAGGAGTACTTGTGGCACCTTAGAGACTAACAAATTTATTGGAGCATAAGCTTTCATGGGCTACAGGCCACTTCTTCGGATGCATCTATGCATTAGCCGCTGACAGCTCACACTTC